AGTATAGTAAGTATAGTAAGTACTGTAGTACAGTGGTATAGTAAGTATAGTAAGTACAGTAGTAAAGTAGTATAGTAAGTATAGTAAGTATAGTAGTACAGTAATATAGTAAGTATAGTAGTACAGTAATGTAGTAAGTATAGTAAGTATAGTAAGTACTGTATATTTCTGAATGGAACTTGTTTAAAGTTTTAAATCTCAACCTCAGTTTCACGATTTAGATTACCAAATCCCCTAAATTCCACAAATTTCCATCAATCAATTAATTTCATTTTATTTTTATCACCACATAGAAATAACCGTGTGCCAGTTTCGTTGAAACGTTACAATTAGCTCAAAGTCCGACGCAAATACCTGACAGATCAGATTCTGGCACGCTCTCAATTATTTCGGGTGAAGACAGAGGTTTGAAACGATTTTCTGACAGAACGTTGAAGGGACATCGAAGAAATGATGGATCGCTACTGTTCCGCTTACAAAGAGACCTTTGATAACTTTCGAATTCATATTTTCGACAAAGAATTCACTCGTTCGGAATTGACATAGTTACTGAAATAATACATTTTAGATACTCTGTACTATATTTATGATGTATCAACTATTGTTGTATGGTTGTATCAACCATTGTTCACAGATAGCGGAGAGTGGTTGACATTGTGGAATAAAGACATAGTAAAACAGTAGTATAGTAGTAAGTAAGTACAGTAGTACAGTAGTATAGTAAGTATAGTAAGTATAGTAATACAGTAGTATAGTAAGTATAGTAAGTATAGTAAGTACTGTAGTACAGTAGTATAGTAAATATAGTAGTGTAATAGTGTAGTAGTATAGTAATGTAGTGCTATAGTAAACTATATGTATCAGTGAAACATTGCTATACTAAAACAATAGTATAATAAAACATCAATATAGTAATATAATGAAATACCAAAGCAACCAAATACCGAAATAATAAAATAGTAAATCAAAAATAAAAGAATTCTCCAAAATCTTCCCCCATTTCACAAACATTTCATTGTAAAAAATAAAAATGTGACAAGCACATAAATTATCATCCGGAAATGATCGAACGATCGCAACGATAAAGAGAGATCGATCGATCGAAAAGGGCGGCACAGAGAAAAACGAAGTGTCATCCAGTGGCTCTGGAAATCGTGACCGCGTGTTTTTATCGCGGCGAGTATATCACCGCGTGGAATTTCAGGTGCCGGTTCAGGCTTCCTAGCCAGCGGCCCTCGGAGTTGGCCATTAGTAGACATTTTGTGTGGTCCGGGCAAACTTTTGAGCGGACCGGATGCTCCTATGCAAATTCGGGGATACCCCAATAAATACTGGAAACGGGAAGCCGGGGAACCGGGAACCTCGATGTCTTCCATTAATTCCTCGCGGTGGCTTGCTAATTCCACGCGCGAATATCTGGTGAGGGGTTGTTTCAGAGTTGGATCTTTGGAAATCTCATTATATGGCATTTGAAAATCCCACTATATGGCATTATAAGACTTGAATATTTCAGAGTACCCTATTAGAAAATTTGAAGCTACAGTATTCCAAAATTAAAGAACCTAATATAACACTATAATAAATAATACTGATCAATAGTAATGACTACTCACCTATAATAATCCTCTTTGCAGTAAATATTTCCGTCCCTGGCGAAGCACGTCAGCTCCGCAGCCAAAGGCACCCGGCAATGGCAGCAGCGTAAACAACCACAGTGCCACGCACGATCTGCAGCCCTCAGATACCATCGTTCAGCTATCTCTCTGCCACATCCTCCACATCCGAGGTTTCCGTCGCTGTTGCCGTTGTCTCCAGCGCCGACCTGTCGATTGCTGATGGCACCATCCCCTGGAGGGGGTGTGCTGCTACCACAGCCAACTTCCTTCAGCATCTCAAGTGCAACCGCCACCTACGCATTCTGTATTCCACAAATTTACTTCACTTCAAAATATATTCATTTGTATAATGTTTGTCGTTTAACTGTGTTTTGGACATATTTGAGATTTAGAGATACGATGAATTGAGATATGTTTTGAGATTTGGTTATAGAGATACGATGAGTGTCTTGAGGAGAAGGTTGGAAGGTTAGGTAGGGTATCATATAATGTTTTTGAGGTAGGTCCTTGGAGATGTCAAGGTTGCTTTGATATCAAGGTTTACTTTTTTATTGGAACTGTCGTTTTATGAAGACTTAGAGTAGTCAAGGACTAGTGATGAAATTTTGACTAGTTGTTCAGTCACTGAATAATTATTTATGGTCATTAGAATGCACAAGGTTGTAACACCTCTAGGCAGAGACACCTTGCTTCTCATTCTGAAGCAAGATCTTCATCCAGAAGCAACCTACCCATCCACAAATACCTTGTTTCTAATACAAAAGCAAGAACCTTGATATGGAAGTAGGACCTCTATCCACAAACACCTGATGGACCATCCGAAAGCAAGAATCTTCACCCAGAAGCAGTACATCCATTCACAAACACCTGGTGGATCATCGAAAAGCAAGACCCTTCCTCCAGAAGCAGCATTTCCATCCACAAACACCTTGTCTATCCTCCAAAAGTAGAAATCTCCATCCACAAGCAATATACCCATCCACAAATACCTTGTTTCTAATCCAAAAGCAAGAATCTTGATATAGAAATAGGACCTCTATCCACAAACACCTGATGGACCATCCAAAAGCAAGAATCTTCACCCAGAAGCAGTACATCCATTCACAAACACCTGGTGGACCATCCAAAAGCAAGAACCTTCCTCCAGAAGCAGCAGCTCCATCCACAAACACCTTGTCTATCCTCCAAAAGTAGAAATCTCCATTTACAAGCAATATACCCATCCACAAACACCTTGTTTCACTTCTAAAGGCAAGATCTTGACCCAGAAGTGACATGTCTGACCAGAAACACCTCATTTCTCAAAATCAATACATCTGTCCACAGGTAGTTAGTGTGTCATCCAAAAGCAACCTTCATTCTAAAGCAAAACATCCATCCACAAACACCTTGTTTCATTTCTAAAGGCAAGATCTTGACCCAGAAGGAATATCTTCATCACAAACACCTGGTGTCCCATCCAAAGGACCTCCATTTATACCTTGCTCATTCTCGATAAGTGGAAGTCTCCATCCACAAGCTATATACCTATCTACAACCTTGTATTCCATCTAGACTTGCAACATCTGTGTTCACAAACATGTCCTCTACATAGAAGTACGTCCTCCCCAAGAGTAGGACCTCTTCTAGCACCTAGATCCAAAACGTTCTCTATCCAAAAGTAGGACCTTCCTCAAGTATCACCTACATTTAGAAGTCCTCCATCCAAAGTAGGACCTCCATCAAGTATCACCTAGATCCAAATGTCCTCCATCCAAAAGTAGGACTTCTTTCAAGTAGCACCTAGATCCAGAAGTCCTCCATCCAAAAGCTAGTCCTCCCTTAGTATTTAGGTTCAAAATTTCTCCATCCAAAAGCTAGTCCTTCCTAAGTAGCCCTAGATCCAAAAGTCCTTCATCCAGAAGTCCTCCATCCAAAAGTCCTCCATCCAAAAGCTAGTCCTTCCTAAGTAGACCTAGGTCCAAAATTCATCCATCCAAAAGCTAGTCCTCCCTTAGTATTTAGGTCCAAAATTCCTCCATCCAAAAGCTAATCCTTCCTAAGTAGCCCTAGATTCAAAAGTCCTTCATCCAGAAGTCCTCCATCCAAAAGTCCTCCATCCAAAAGCTATTCCTTCTTAAGTAGCCCTAGATCCGAAAGTCCTCCATCCAGAAGTTCTCCATCCAAAAGTCCTCCATCCAAAAGTCCTCCATCCAAAAGTCCTCCATCCAAAAGTCCTCCACCCAAAAGTCCTCCACCCAAAAGTCCTCCATCCAAAAGTCCTCCAACCAAAAGTCCTCCATCCAAAAGTCCCCCATCCAAAACTCCTCCAACCAAAATCTAGTCCTCCCCAACTAAACCTACATCCACTCCTCCCTCCAAAAGCACCTCTCCCCCCAAAAGCACATCAACTCCATCAAGAACGCATGAAGAATCCAGCAACCCGAATTTTTCCATGAAACTGAAGAAGTCCTCGAGAGCAAAGTCAGCGGCATTCATTGAGAGACTCCTCGGCGCACGCAAGAACCGATGAATGAAAACAATTCGTGACTGCTGTCCCGTTAATGAATGACTCCCGGTGGTGGTGGCGGCGATGGTGGTGGTGGCGATGGCGGTGGTGGTGGCTCTGTTGGTTTCGAATCGGCCGCGAGCTAATTAGTAGAAGCTTGCGGATCGCCACAATAACTCAACGTCCTTTACGAGCACGGGCCGCACGTGATTTCCGTAAGTTAAATGGAGAAGGTGACGTCGTCTGGAATCAACTGTACACCTCGTTCTATCAAGGTGACGCCGTTTTGCTGGCGAGCTTGTCACCGGACGTATTAGGACGAACGTGTGCCAGCTGATTTACTACTCTTCTCTTTTCTTACGATTCTTACGATTCTTTTGTTCGACGGGGATTTTTGGGTTTTAGGGTGCTTTGGTTAGCGATTTTTCGGCGGGGTTCTTATTGATTTTGCGACGGTAGGTTATTAGAGGATTAGGAATTTGGGGATTTGGGGATTTGGGTGTTGGGGATATAGGGATATGAGGGTTTGGCAATTTGGGGATTTGGGAATTTGGAGGTTTGACAGTTTTGGGATTTAGAAATTTGGGGGGTTGAGAATTTGGGGATTTGGAAATTTGGGAATTTAGAAATTTGAAAATTTGGAAAGTTAGATATTTGAGATTTAGAGATTTGCAAATTTGGAAATTAGAGAATTTGGTGACTTGGAAAATTAGAAATTTGGTAACATGAGAACTTGGTGATTTAGAAATTTGGAAATTTGAGATTTGGGGTAATAGAAATTTAGAAATTTGAGAATTTGGGAATTTATAAATTTGGAAATTTGGAAATTTGGAAAATTAGAAATTTGAGATTTGAAGATTTGGAAATTTGGGAATTTAGAAATTTGAGAATTTGAGAATTTGAGAATTTGAGTATTTGAGGATTTGGAAATATGAAAATTTAAGAATTTTCATATTTGGAAATTGAGGACTTTGAAATTTGCAAGTTTAAGAATTTGGAGTTTTTTCAAAGTATGAGAATTTTGGAATGTAGTATTTGAGGATTTACCAATTTGTAAATGCAAGAATTTGCAAATTTCAAAATTGAAAGTATTGGAAGTAGTGAAGATTATTAAAATTGAAAGTATTGAAAATGATTAAAATTGAAAGCATTGCAAAGTATTGAAATTGAAAGTATTGAAAGGTATTAAAATTGAAAGTATTGGAAGGTATTAAAATTGAAAGTATTGAATGTATTGAAAATTATTAAAATTGAAAGTACTGAAAAGTATTGAAATTGAAAGTATTGAAAAGTATTGAAATTGACAGTATTGAAAAGTATTGAAAAGTATTGAAAATAATTAGAATTGAAAGTATTGAAAAGTATTGAAATTGAAAGTATTGAAAAGTATTCAAATTATCAAAATTTGAAGTACTGAAAAGTATTAAAATTGAAAGTATTGAAAAGTATTGAAAATGGTTAGAATTGAAAATATTAAAATTGAAAGTGTTGGAAAGTATTAAAATTGAAAGTAATTGAAAAGTATTGAAAATGATTAAAATTGAAAGCATTGCAAAGTATTGAAATTGAAAGTATTGAAAAGTATTGAAAATGATTAAAATTGGAAGCATTGCAAAGTATTGAAATTGAAAGTATTGAAAAGTATTGAAAAGTATTAAAATTGAAAGAATTGAAAAGTATTAAAATTGAATGTATTGAAAAGTATCGAAAATTATTAAAATTGCAAGTATTGAAATTGAAAGTATTATAAAGTATCAAAATTAAAAGTATTGAAACTATAAAAAAATACTAAAATTGAAAGTACAGAAACTATTAAAACCTGTAAAAATAGAAAATATCAAAAGCATTGCAAACCACTACAATTTTCCCTCCAACTATTCCAAGTAATATACTTAAACTCCTAATAATCCCTGTATACAAAATACGAATACATCGAGAAAATAATCTCGATCCAGCGTGAAATGTTTAACGATCACCTACCTGAGTGTTCAGTTAACCAGCTGGAAACTCGCTGGAGAATTCCAGCGACGTCTTTTAACGTCCTCCGGTGTCGGCCGTCGCTCGTTCGTTGCCGTCGCAGCGATCCAGCACCGCGAATTTATTAATTTATTCCACGAACGAGACTATTTCCGTACGGAATGACTGTGACGACCCTGGTTCAGGTGTGGCGAGGTTTTTCCAGATCGAATGTGGGTGATGGCCGATTGAAAGCGCTTGCGGTGCCGTCGGACAACGTCAGGGGATGATTATGGGTGCATTCCTTTGAAAAAGAAATTATTTTACAGAATTTTATACTAGTTTAATTTTTTTCTATTTTCAAGATTTTTATAGATTCTTTTTTCTCATAGAAGATTTGTTTTATGTTTTGAGATGGCAAGTTTGTAAGCTTGAAGGTTTGATAGTTTGGAAATTTGTGAAAGTGCTATAGCGGTTTATTAGAGTTCAAGATGGAGGTCACAAGAGTTTCTTTGAAGAAGAAATTATTTTTCAGAATTTTATACTAGTTTAATTTTTTCCTATTTTCAAGATAGAAGATCTGTGAGTGTTTTAGCTTTTAAGATTGCAAGTTTGAAGGTTTGGTAATTTGGAAATTTGTGAAAGTGCTATAGTGGTTTATTAGAGTTCAAGATGGAGGTCACAAGAGTTCCTTTGTGCATTTTATGCAAGTTTTGGACTTTTTCTATTTTCAAGGTAGGATATTTGTGAGTGTTTAAATTTTCAGATTTGCAAGTTTGTAAATTTGGAAATTTTTGAATGTATTAATTTATTAGATTTCAAGATGTAGAGTTCATAAAGTTTTAAACTTGCAAATTTACAAGTTTCTAAATTCTATATTATCACACTTCTAAGATTTCAAATTTATAAATCTGTAAATTTCCAAAATTTCAGATTGACAAATTCCCAAATTTTTAAAGCGAAAGACCAATTCCCAGATTACTAAATATCCAAATATTCAAATTTTCATATATTCAATATCTAAACTCACAAATTTGACATCTTAAATTCTCAAGTTCTCTAGTTTCTATATTCTCAGCATTCCATATTTCCAAATTTTTTGCAAATTTTCTAGTTTCAATATCTTTAATTTTTCAAATTCCTAAATTTCCAAATGCAGAATCTCCAATAAAATCAAATGTGTCACTTTCAGAAGAACATACACCCAAAACCTTACGTTCACAGTTATCTAAGAACCCCTAACTAAAAATATTCACAAAAGTCATCGAATCTCTCCTAAAATCAAGCTTGCCACTTTCACCCCAAATTTCTATTTAACAGAACTAAATGAAAAAAAATTTACCAAAATCATGGAACACAGGTCTCCCCACTTCCACAAGATTTCGTATCCAAAATTCTACATCCGCAGATTCCAGACCCTCTTCGAATCACAACACGTCTATCTCCACATCTCGTCACAGCCGAAACACCCTATCTACACTCAAATTTAAAAAAATACTCAAAATCCAAAAAATTCACATAGCATTTGTGTGTTTGTATGCTACAAACACTATCAGTTCACTCTTATCACTCTTTCACACTTTCTTATTATTATAATTTCCAACCCTTAGTTCTTCTATTCACACTTTGTGTGACCTTCTACCAATCTACCGTTCTATCACTTCGTCGAGCTTTTTATCAATTTATCCTTCTATCAGGTAGTCCGTCGTACTCTCAAATTGTCCCAATCATGGAACACAGGTCTCCCCACTTCCACAAGATTTCGTATCCAAAATTCTACATCCGCAGATTCCAGACCCTCTTCGAATCACAACACGTCTATCTCCACATCTCGTCACAGCCGAAACACCCTATCTACACTCAAATTTAAAAAAATACTCAAAATCCAAAAAATTCACATAGCATTTGTGTGTTTGTATGCTACAAACACTATCAGTTCACTCTTATCACTCTTTCACACTTTCTTATTATTATAATTTCCAACCCTTAGTTCTTCTATTCACACTTTGTGTGACCTTCTACCAATCTACCGTTCTATCACTTCGTCGAGCTTTTTATCAATTTATCCTTCTATCAGGTAGTCCGTCGTACTCTCAGATTGTCCGTCGTACTCTCACTTTGTCCGTCGTACTCTCAAATCGTCCGTCGTTCAATAAGGCAGTTTCATCAAATTGTCGGCGTTCTATCACTTTGTCCAACGTTCTATAACATAGTTCACCGTACTCTCATATTGTCCGTCGTACTCTCACTTTGTCCACCCTTCTATCAATCTATCACTCCATCAGTTTGTCCAACGTTCCACAACCTACTCCGTCGTTCTATCAGTTTGTCCAACGTTCCATAACCTACTCCGTCGTTCTATAACGCAGTCCATCGTACTCTCACATTGTCCGTTGTACTCTCACATTGTCCACCCTCCTATCAATATATAGTTCCATCAGTTTATCCAACGTTCTATAAGGCAGTCTGTCGTTCTATCACTTTGTCTGTCATTCCACAAGCTAGTCCGTCGTTCTATCAGTTCGTACAACGTTCACAAGCCACCTCCGTCGTATAAACTCGTCCGTTCTACAAGGTACGTCCTATCAGTCAGTCCAACGTTTCACAAGCCACCTCCGTCGTATAAATTCGTCTACAAGGTAACCTGTCCTTCTATAAGTCAGTCCAACGTTTCACAAGCCACCTCCGTCGTATAAACTCGTCCGTCCTACAAGATACCTCGTCCTATCAGTTTGTCCAACGTTCACAAGCCACCTCCGTCGTATAAATTCGTCTACAAGGTAACCTGTCCTTCTATAAGTTAGTCCAACGTTTCACAAGCCACCTCCGTCGTATAAACTCGTCCACCCTACAAGATACCTCGTCCTATCAGTTAGTCCAACGTTGCACAAGTCACCTCCGTCGTACAAATTCGTCCGTCGTCCTACCAGTTTGTCCAGCGTTTCACAATCCACCTCCGTCGTACAAATTCGTCTACCTCGTCGTCCTATCAATTTGTCCAACATTCACAAGTCACCTCCGTCGTATAAACTCGTCCGTCGTCCTACCAGTTTGTCCAACGTTTCACAATCCACCTCCGTTGCATAAATTCGTCTGTTCTACAAGGTACCCCGTCCTATCAGTTCATCCAACGTTCACAAGTCACCTCCGTCGTATAAACTCGTCTACAAGCCCGTCTACCCCGTCCTATCAGTCAGTCCGTATAAGTGTATCACCTGGTCCCGCAGCACGTTGGAACCGGCGCGGCGCGGAATCGTATCGAACCGGAAGAGACGCTCCTCTTTTTTGGCCGGCGAGGGTAAAATTGTGCGCGCCACTGGAAGCGGATAAGCTCGTTGGAGAGAGTGGCAGAGGGAAGCTGTTCTCCGTCGGCGTAATATTACGATCCTGGGCTGGCCAGCCAGCGCCAGGGGCGGACGTCGACGAGCCGGAATAGAGGGGTTCGACCCCCCGGCGGGGTGGGGTCGACGGATCACTCGACGTCGACGTCGACGCGTTTGCGCGCTAAGGCCGTCCGTCCTCGTTCAGCGACGCCTGCCCACAGTCGGGCTGACGCATCGGAACTGACGATTCTTCTCGTTACGAATGACCTTGAAGTTTTTTCTTAGACGTATAGCAAGTTTTTTCTTAGGGTGTCTTACGACTATTATATTAGTGCTATATGTTAGGGTTATTGTTACGGGTGTTATATGTATGTTAGGGTTATTGTTATGGGTGCTATATGTATGTTAGGGTTATTGTTATGGGTGCTAGTTTTGAGGTAGGCGAATTTTTAAGTAATTCTTTAGATTCTGAAGCATAGAGAGAGTTTAGAGGGGGAGAGGAAGGGAGAAAGAGGGAGTCGAGTCTATTGTTGGATGAAGGAAGGGAAAAGGGAAGGTAATTTTTTTTGGAAGGATTTTTGGGGATTTTAGAGTTTGGTGTGGGAATTTAGGGAGATGGGAGGTAGGAGTTTGGGAGGGTGATTTGGGGATTTGGGAAATTAGGGGATGAGGGTTTTGAGGATTTTGGGATTTGGGAATTTGGGAAGGTGGGAATGGAGAGATTTGGGGTGGTAGGGATTTCAGTATTCGGGAATTTGGGAATTTGAGAATTTAGGGATGTGGGGAATTGGGGGATGAGAGTTTCAAGGATTTTGAGATTTGGAAATTTGGGAATTTGGGAACGTGGGAATTTGAGAACGTGGGAATTTGGGAACGTGGACATTTGAGAATGTGGGAATTCGGGAATGTGGGAATTTGGGAATATGGGAATTTGGGAATGTGGGAATTTGGGAATGTGGAAATTTGGGAACGTGGAAATTCGGGAACGTGGGAATTTAGGAACGTGGAAATTTGGGAACGTGGGAATTTGGGAACCTGGGAATTTGGGAACCTGGGAATTTGTGAATGTGGGAATTTGGGAATGTAGAAATTTAGGAACGTGGAAATTTGAGAACATAGGAATTTGGGAACCTTGGAATTTGGGAACCTGGGAATTTGGGAACGTGGAAATTTGGGAACGTGGAAATTTGAAAATGTGGAAATTTGGGAACGTGGAAATTTTGAAACGTGGAAATTTTGAAACCTGGGAATTTGGGAACGTGGAAATTTGGGAACGTGGGAATTTGGGAACGTGGAAATCTGAAAATGTGGAAATTTGGGAACGTGGAAATTTTGAAACGTGGGAATTTGGGAACGTAGAAATTTCGGAACGTGGGAATTTAGGAACGTGAGAATTCAGGAATTTTAGAATTTGAGAACTTAGGAATTTGGGAATTTAACAATTTGGGAGGGTGGAAAATTGGGAATGTAAGAATTTGGGAATTTTGGTATTTGGGAGGGTAGAAATTTGGGGATGTAGAGATCTCAATATCCAGGAAATTGGGAATTCGGGAATTTAGCTAGTTGGCTGTTATAAGGGGGAAATTTGAAATGTAATACACGCAACATACACCAAACTCTGCCCCAAAATGTTCCTCAACCTCTCCACCAATAATTTGTCCATTCACAATTCTCATAAGACCGCGATAACCACATTTCCACCTTGGATGTCCACATGTCACATTTCACCTCATAACTCCGCAACCCTTCAACTCATCCACATGCAACATACACCAAACTCTGACCCAAAATGTTCCTCAACCTCTCCACCAATAATTTGTCCATCCACAATTCTTATAAGAGCGCTATAACCTTATTTGTGTCCTAGGTGTCCACATATCACTTGTCAAATCTGACTTATCCTCCCACTTCGACTCTGAAAAGATCTGAATAACTGCTCATGGCTACAAATCCTTGAAATCCAAGTTCAGGAAGGTGTAGCAGCACATCTTGATCATAGAATTTTCTGACTTCTTTGCAGCATTATGATTGCAGCATCGGTGTAGCATAGTCTGTTAGTGAAGGATGAAGTAGTAGGATGAAAGTTTGCTATATTCTTGGTCATACGATGAAAACCTGTGGTATTCTTGATCTTAGAATCGAAACCTGTGATATTCTTGATCTTCGAATGAAAAGCTACGAAATTCTTGATGAATGTCTACAATATTCTAGATCGTAGAACGATGTACAGGTTCGGAACGAGGCCGCTTAAAATTATTACTCGAAATGCGGCGCGTTTCAGCGGCGGGCCGGTGTTCATTATTCATGATTAGCGGCCGCGACGTCGTTTTCAAAGCGTTCGTCGCGCGTTCGCGTTTCACTCTCAATTAATTTGTAATCGGTGCCTCTCAATGGGGAAGAGGCACTCGCGAGCGCGAAAGAGAAATGACGTGACACGCAAACGGTTAGTCACGCGTCACTCACGCATACGGTTACAAATTGTTGCCGGAATGGGCCCGCTACGATCGTCCCGCACGAAAAACGTGTACCGCCGACGATTTTAATATCGCTGACCGTTTGTCACGCGCGACACTCGAGAACTCGACGATCAAGTGTAATTTCTCTTTGTATTACGAGAATTATTCGATCGAGTGTACTCTATAATTTCTTTTTCGTGTCTTTTAAATGAAGATATTAAATTAAATGAAGATAAGATTAAACGAAGATAAATTAATGAATAAATTCGAATTTTGGGGGAATTTTTTTGGGGACTTTTTAGGTGGCACCCTTTGGTATTACTATTACATTTAATTAGGTAACAGGAAATTTTTTTTTTTAAAGAAACAATTTTTTCAACGAATTTTTCATAACAGTTAGTGTATTATCCACATTTAATCATTAGCACAGTATGCACATTTGAAGGAACAGTGTAGGTAATTTGAAGTTGACGCACGTGATGCGTCACAGTTCTGATCTGACTGAATGATTTTCGTTTTAAAATTGTAATTTTCTAAGTAATGTGCTAAATGAACTTCACAACATAAAATTACTTTATCATTCATATTTAATAGTTGGCACATCCACATGTGAGTGCACAGCAAAAAACGATGGGGAGTTATGAATGTTACAACTCTGATCTGACTGATTAACCTCCAGCCTTCTAATCACCTTCTAATGCAACCTTCCCTCACTAATAACAGAGTTGTTCACTTCATAAAACATAATTACCACATTAGTCTGCCATCAAGACTTTGCCTATCACATTAGGTATTAGCCTATTAGACATCAAATAGACTTTCACCACATCAACTACATAATTTGCACGACTTCAAAACTCGTACACATTTGAATTCACAAAAATTACAGTATCAAAAAGATTCAGATCACAAGAGAAACTTACA